TAAATTTCTTAGAATGGTACTTGTCCACACATATTGTGCAAGCATTTTATAGCTATTAGCTGTCAGCAGCTCCTAATCATACAGATGAGAAACTATCATTCCCAAAAGTTCAACGACTATCTCCAGATCAAAGAGCCAGGAAGTGCTAAGGGACGGAAGTGAAGGCGGCCAGACTTGCCTTCTCTCTGGCAGGGCTTCTGGAGGAGGCCCGGGATGCTACCTGTCTGGCCTCTATCTGTCAGGCTGAGCCAGAACTTTGGAGGGTAGCCCTTAGACAAGAGGCTGGCAAAAAACACTAGTGGTAAAGCAAAAAAGACTTGTTAGGAAATGTGTAGTCAATCCTTGGTTTTCGATTTTAGTTGCAACCATGAAGGCAATCATTACCCTTGACAATCTGAGGGATGCAGGCAGGTGCACACTCCACAGCCCACTTTTTTTTTTTTTTTTTTTGAACTGGGGATTGAACTCAGGCCCTTGTGCTTGCCAGGGAAGCGCTTATTCCATTGAGCCATCTCCCCGGCCCCACACAACCCACTTCTTCCATCACATTGACATAGTGTTGATTAACCCTTTCAGGCCTAGGCCTCTAGTCTTTTTTCCTGGAAAGTATGTAGATTCATGTAAGAAGATAATGTGAATATCCCACATTGATAAATACTTTCCTATGGATCTTTTTTTTTTTTTTAAACTGGGAATTGAACTCAGGACCTTGCACTTGCCAGGCAGGCTCTGTGCCACTGAGCTACATCCCCAGCCCGGTGCATTGTTCTTGCTTTGTGACTCTTCAACCTGGTGTCTTCTTCCAGGGCCTGTGGAAGTCGAAGTTCAGCCCTGACAACACAAGGGAGGAGCTCTTCCACAAGGCCAGCGAAGAGACATGCTCAGCATCTATGATGTACCAGGAAGGCAAGTTCCGGTACCGGCGTGTGGCAGAAGGTACCCAGGTGCTGGAGTTGCCCTTTAAGGGTGATGACATCACCATGGTGCTCATCCTGCCCAGTCCTGAGAAAAGCCTGGCCAAGGTAGAGCAGGAGCTCAGCCTGGAGGTGCTGCAGGAGTGGCTGGACGAGCTGGTAGAGACCATGCTGGTGGTCCATGTGCCCCGCTTCCGCCTGGAGGACAGCTTCAGTTTGAAGGAGCGTCTGAAGGACATGGGTCTGCACGACTTGTTCAGTCCTGACAGGGCCAAACTCCCAGGTTGGTACAGGAAGGGCTTTCTTCCTCTCTCTGTCCCCAGGGTGGTCTGAATACAAGTGAAGAAGTTGAGGAGTAGAAAGGCGCATCCTGTCAATTCAGGATTGACCTGGATTCAGATCCCAGGGCACACTACTCACTTGTGGAGATCCTGCACCCTCTGGGCCTCAGTTTCCTCTGCTACCCAGGCGACCATTTGCTCTCCTGGCTCCGTGGGCCCAGGCAGTGCTAGCACCTGTCAGTGTCTGTCAGTCTGTGTCCTAGAACAGAGGAAACCAGGTAGAGGAGGACACAAAACAGACTGGAATTCAGAGCAGAGACAGATATTAAGTGCTGGGGACATCTGGGCTCCTGAAACGGGCCTAGCTGACATTCAATAGCCCTTCACCTGACATGTTTTTTTCTAGGGTCACTGCCAACTTTTTCCCAGTTAATGGTGTTGAGCCAGAATGATTGCTCAACCCGCCATCCTTTAAAAATAGGCATCTAAACATATTATTTAAGGGCCAGGGATAATAGCTCAATAGAATAAGCACTTCCCTGGCAGGTTCAAGGTCCTGAGTTCAATCCCTGGTACCTCAAAAAAAAAAACCCATTGTTTAAAAAAGAAGTTAAGGCCGGGGAGATGGCTCAGTAGAATAAGCACTTCCTTGTCAAATGCAAGGGTCTGAGTTCAATCCCCGGTTCCACCAAAAAATTAAAAAAAAAAAAGAAGTTAAAAATAATAATCACTTATTTAGCAAATACTTAGTGCCAGGGATATAACTCAGTGGCATAAGCACCTGCTAAAAAAAAAAAAAAGAAGTTAAAAATAATAATCACTTATTTAGCAAATACTTAGTGCCAGGGATATAACTCAGTGGCATAAGCACCTGCCCAGCAAGCCCAAAGTCCCAAGCTCAATCCCTGGTACTGCCAAACAACAAAAATACACCACACTATAAAATATGGGGACCATGTTCCTTAAATGCCTGGAAAAACATGTTCATCAACTGCATAGATGTCTTCTGCTATTGCTGGTATTTACGTATAACTGCCAATGCAGCTCTTTACTGCTTTATCTTTTGATTGTTACACTTTCCATTTTCCTAAAGTTCTAAAATTATGTATCTCATACAATTTTATTCACTTAAGTGCAGCAAAATCAAGTATGTTACTTAATTTTTCAGTTTGCAAACAAAAACTACATAACTCTGGTTTAAAAAGATGCACAGGGGGCTGGAGAGATGGCTCAGTGGTCTAAAGCACCTACTTAGAACAAGCTTAGCAAAAGCATCAGGGACCGCGGTTCAATCCCCCAGCACCACAT